AACCAATCCCGTAGTTTTTTTCCAAAAATAGTTTGAACTAATATTTCTGACTTTGAAGCAAAAATTCTGAAAGATAAACCTTTGACAATTCAATTATCTGTTTTAACTTCATGGCCTTAGAGGGATCCAAATGACTAAGTCACTTTCCAAAACAAGTCAGAGTCTGTTATAAGTAAAAAAAAAGGTGGAATCTGATTGGAGCAATTGTGAGGTGGCTTTGACCGGCAAAATAATGTTTAATTGCAAGATATCCCAACCAACCATTAAAAAGCATCAAAAACCAGATCTGAAGAGTTTTCCCCAACTGACTTCTTCAGAGACATAAGAAAAACAGAGATGAACAATAGAAACTGTTTTGATTCTTCTTCTTCTTCTTCTTGTGAGCCTTTTGAGTTAATTGTTTTTGCTTATAAGGGTATTGTATTCTTATTGGATTGGAATAATCCTTAAAGGGATTAAGTGAGTTGTTGAGACTTAAATTGTGAGGGTTCAATCTTGCACTTGCAAGCAAGAGTTTGTTCTGGTTTAATCTTGCACTCGTAAGCAAGAGAATTCTAGTGGATTGAACTCGAGCAAGGAGGCTTGGGAAGTGGACATACTCCAAGTTGGAGGAACCACTATATATCACAATTTGATATTCTCTTCCCTTTCTTTTTATTTTTCTGCACTTTATTTGCAAGATTGCAATTATTATTTGTTTATTTTGCACAATAGTTTATAAATTAGAAATTTGATTCAAGTTTTGAAGAGAAAGAAACAAGTTGAAAGTAAATTGATAGGACCCAATTCAATCCCCTTCTCTAGGATTTCAATTGGTATCAGAGCAAGTTCTCTTAGAAATAAATTTAACAATCTAGAGTAGATCCATGGCTTCTTAAACTCATTTTGTTGAAGGTCATCTAATATCTCTAGGCCACGTTATTTTGATAGAACAAATTATCAATACTAAAAAAATAGGATGCAAATTTGGTTAAAATCAAATAGCTATGAGATGTGGGATTGTATTGCTAGAAGACCTTACAAAGTCTTAGTTAGAGACAAGGATAACAAACTTATTCCGAAGGATCCTGCATTACATGATGAAGCTGATAAAAAAAACTATAGATAAATGCTCAGGCTAAAAATGCATTATTTTGTGTTTTACATACTAGTGAATATAATAGAATTAGTGCATGTGATTCTGCTAAGGAAATGTGGGATACATTACAAGTGGCTCATGAAGGAACTAATGAAGTCAAGAAATCAAAAATTAACATCTTGGTTCAAAAATACAAGGCTTTCAAAATGAAATTAGATGAAGATATTAAAGACATGTTTACTTGCTTTACCAAAATCACTAATGAATTAAAGCTTTTTGATTGGGTGCTTCCTACGGAAGATAAGGTCAAAAAGATTCTCCGCTTCTTGCCAAAATCCTGGAGCTCAATCAAGACGACAATAGAAGAAGCTGATGATTTAAGTGCCATGACTGTTGAGATGCTGCAAGGGAAGCTCCTTACACATGAAATGGCCATGAAAAATGATGAAAGTGATGATGATTCTCAGAAGAAGAAATCTGTAGCCTTCAAAAGCTCCTCCAAAGATGAAAGTGATAGTGATGAAGAGATTCCTCAAGAAAGATAGGCTGAAGAATCAAGGACAGCAAAAGAAAAACTACAAAAACAGTAAAGGAAAGGGAGAAAGCAATAAAAAGGATGAGATTATTTGCTACAAATGTAAGAAGGTTGGACATATTAAATTTCAGTGTCCAAACAATGATGAAAAGAGTCTAAAAGCCACAAAGAAAAAGAAGGCAATGGTTGCCACATGGAGCTGCAGTGAGGACTCATCTTCTAGTAAAGAAGAAAGTGACATGGAAGCTTATATATGTCTCATGGCAAATGATGACACAGATGAGGTAAATTCTATTTCTACCTCTATTTTTTATCATGCAAGTGATGACGAAATGTCATATGAAGATTTGCAAGATGCATTTAATGAATTATATGAGCATTCTAAACAAATTAGTGCAAAAAATGCATCTTTAAAAAGGGAAAACCTGTCACTTGGAAAAGAAAACAATGATTTGAGAGAATCTTTAAATGAGGAAATGATAATTAGTTGAAATATGGAAACTGACTTGGAAGAGTCAACAATTGCATTTAGAAATTGCAAACAAAAGTTGATTAAAGAGCATGATAAGTTGGTTGATTTGAAGTATCTAAGTCTTCCTCACTAATCCTTTGCATTCTTATGACATAGTAGAAGCATCAAGTTCTAGAGATAATCATGTTCACCATTCCTATAATCATGGTATCATTTGTCATTATTGCTTGAAAAGGGGACACTATATCCATCAGTGCTATGCTAAAAAAAATATCTTTAAGATGAATTTGAAGTGAGTTCCTAAGAAAATTTCTACCTATTCAACAAACTCAAAGGGACCCAAGAAAGTTTGGGTACCAAAATCAAGTGTTTATGTTGTGCTTTTAGGGAAGCTTCAAGGAAAAATTGAAGAAAGAAAAATGGGATTTGGACAGTGGGTGTTCTAGACACATGACAAGAGACAAATCACAATTCTAGAACCTTGAGGCAATGGAAGGAGGAACAGTGACTTTTGGTGACGATACAGAAGGTCACATCAAAGGTATTGGCAAAGTAGGTAAGAATTCTGTTTTAGTTATAGAAAATGTTTATCGTGTAAAAGATCTCAAGCATAATTTGATTAGTATAAGTCAACTGTGACGGCAAAAACCAACATTTAACCCCTCACCTTACAAAGTTAGTAGGTTTTAGCCCCTCACCTTATAACATGACAATTTTAACCTTTTATCTTATAAAATTAGTAAGTTTTAACCTCTCACATTACATAGTTGGTAAGTTTTAACTCCTTACTTTATATTATGATATTTTTAGCTGGTCACCGATATAAATTAAAGAAAATAACCCTCACCTAATATCAGATTATAATGTTCTGTTAGTTGACTGTGAATATCCGTTAGTATTCCATTATAAAAAAACATAAAATTTAAATTTAATTTTATTTATTAGTTCCATTAACGAAATGCTAACGAATACTAACAGTCAACTAACAGAACTAACAGTCAATTAACAAAACTGACAGTCAGCTCACAGAACTAATAAAACATTATAACCTGATGTTAAATAAGGGCTGTTTTCTTCAATTCGTACAGGTAAATGGCTAAAAGTATCATAATATAAGGTAAAGCGCTAAAACCTACCAACTTTGTAAGGTAAAGGCTAAAAGTGTCATATTATAAGGTTATGAGTTAAAACCTACCAATTTTGTAAGATGAAGGGCTAAAAGTTGGTTTTAGCCACTATGTGACAGGGGGCACAATTATTTTTGAGTCACATGCGTGCAAAGTGTTAAATATTCATGATGATGAAATTCTGTTTGTTGGTAAAACGAAGGGAAATGTTTACATTGTTGATTTTGATGATTTATCTTCATATAATGTAAAATGCTTAATGTCTAAAAATGAAAGTGAGAGTCGACTATGGCATAAAAGGTTAGGACATGCATCCACGCACTTGATTTCTAAATTATCAAAGAAAGATCTAGTTGTAGGCTTACCTAAACTAGTTTTTGAGAAAGATAAAATTTGTGATGCATGTCAACAAGGTAAACAAAGAAAATTTTCATTTTAAATCAAAGGATGTAACTATATCAAGGCCACTAGAACTTTTGCACTTGGATTTGTTTGATCCTATTGATGTCACTAGTTTGGGAGGTAAAAAATACACCTTAGTAATTGTAATGATTATTCTAGGTATACCTGTACTATATTTTTGGCTAATAAGAAAAATACATTTAGCAAATTTACTAAATTTTGTAAAAAGGTGCAAAATAAAAAGGGGTTTACTATTACATGCATCAGAAGTGATCATGTAGGTGAGTTTGAGAATGATAAAATGAAAGAATTTTGTGACCCAAATGAAATTGAACATAACTTTTCCTCTCCAAGAACTCCACGACAAAATGGAATTGTTGAAAGGAAAAATACAACCTTACAAGAAATGGACAGAACAATGCTATGTGAAAATCAATTACCAAAATATTTCTAGGCAGAGGCTATTAACACAGAGGCTATTAACACAGCATGTTACATTTTGAATAGAGTTCTAATCAGATCAAAGTTGAATAAAACTTCATATGAGTTGTGGAAGAATAAGAAACCAAATATCTCTCATTTTTGTGCATTGGGTTGTAAATGTTTTGTGCATAACAATGGCAAAGAAAATCTAGGAAAATTTGATGCTAAGAGTGATGAGGGTGTTTTTCTTAGGTACTCATTAACAAGTAGAGCATATAGAGTTTGTAACAAAAGAACTTTGGTTGTAGAAGAGTCCATGCATGTTACATTTGTTGAAAATAATTTTTCCCCAAGAAAGGTTGTTTTGGATTATGATGCAGGTGAAATTCAAACAAGGATTGGACAACTACATCTTGAAGAAAATTTTGGAAAAGAAGGCGGCTCACAAGAATAGAATGATGATCCTTGCCAAGACTTTCCAAAGACATGGAAATTTAAGAAAGATCATCCAAAAGAACAGATCATTAATGACATAGAAAAGGGGATACCAACAAGATCTCACTTTGATTTTGTGAATAATTTTGCATTTATTTCTCATATAGAACCTAAGAATGTCAATGATGCATTAGAGGATAAAAATTGGTTCTTAGCAATGCAAGAGGAATTAAATCAGTTTCAAAGAAATAAAGTATGGAATCTTGTACCTCATCCTAGTGATCATCCTATCATAGGTTCGAAATGGGTTTTTAGAAATAAGTTAGATGAACATGTTTATGTAGTTAGAAATATAGCAAGACTAGTTGCTAAGGGATAAAGTCAAGAGGAAGGCATAGACTATGATGAAACATATGCACCAGTTGCTCGATTAGAATCTATACGTATGCTATATGCATTTGCATGTCATATGAACATGAAACTTTTTCAAATGGATGTTCAAAGTGCATTTTTAAATGGATTCATTAAGGAAGAAGTTTATGTTGAGCAACCCCCGGCTTTGAGGAGCCCCATTTCTCAGGTCATGTATTCAAGTTATCTAAGGCTTTGTATAGCTTAAAACAAGCTCCTAGAGCTTGGTATGAAATACTAAGTGGGTTTCTACTTGAAAAAAGTTTTTCTAGAGGAAAAGTTGACACCACTCTACATCATGTAAAGGAATTTTTAATTGTTCAAATCTATGTGGATGACATAATATTTGATGGTACTAATGAACTTCTTTGTGAGAATTTTTCTAAGCTTATGCAAGGAGAGTTAGAGATGAGTATCATGGGAGAATTAAATTTCTTCCTTGGAATGCAAACCAAGCAAAATAATGAAGGGATTTTCATTAATCAATCGAAGTATCCCAAAGAGCTGCTGAAAACGTTTGGAATGGAAAAGGCTAAGCCTCAATGCACACCAATGAGTTCAACCCTCAAACTGGACAAAGATGAGCAAGGTTAGCCTTTTGAACAGAAACTTTTTAGAAGCATGATAGGTTCATTATTATATTTGACAGCTAGTAGACTTGATATTATGTTCAGTGTACTTGTGTGCTCGTTTTCAATCATGTCCTAAGGAGTCTCATTTTACTACATTAAAAAGAATCTTTAGATATCTTATAAGAACTCAAAACTTAGGTCTTTGGTATCCCAAAGGGATGAATTTTGATTTAATTGGATTCTCAGATGCTGACTTTGTTGGTAGTAAGGTTGATAGGAAAAGTGCTAGTGGAACTTGTCAAATCTTAGAAGGTGCTTTAGTTTCTTGGTGCTAAAAAAAAATACAAAATTCAGTTGCCTTGTCAACTATTGAGGCTGAGTATATTGCAACTGGTAGTTGTGCAACTCAACTTTTATGGATAAAACAACAATTAGAGGATTTTGGATGCAAACTTGAAAGAATTCTGATTAGATGTGACAACACTAGTACAGTCAATCTAACCAAGAATCCAATTCAACATTCAAGAACAAAACACATTGAAATTAGATATCATTTCATTAAAGAACATGTGAACAATGGTAACTTAACTCTTGAATTTGTAGAAACTCAAAACCAATTGGCAGACATATTTACCAAACCTTTGAATGAAGAATGATTTTGTTTAATAAGACATGGCATAGGGATGTATGATCCAACTTGTTATCCTTAAACTGGTAAATTTTGTTATAATAAATATGATAAACAAAATTAAAATTAAGAGGAGGAAGAAACAGAAAGGGAATTGCAAAGTATATTGATCTGAACCACAAAAATTAGGTTCAAATCAAATCCATTAAAGAGGGTGTGTTTTTGCTTTGAACCTGTTCTCCAATGGGTTTAAGCAAAACATCAAATAATGGTTAAAAATAATAATAATAATAATAATAATAATAATATAATAATAATAATAATAATAATAATAAAGGAGGGGGAGGGGCCTACTTCACTTAACCCAAATACTCTTAATTTTTCTTCAAATTTCCTCCAATGTGAATTGAACAACCCTAGATCTCTCAATTTTTTTTTTTTTTCAAATCTCCATCACTTAAACCATGCCGAAGAAGAAAACCTTAGTTTGCAAGAGTAGTAAGAAACGAACCAGATCTGAGTCAATTCCTTCCTCTTCCTCTCCTCATCGGGTGTTTCCACACTCTCCAGAGCATTTTGAGGAAGTTTTAGTGGAAACCATAACAGGTATCTATCTCAGAG